GCGCTAGGGAAACGCAAAACACCTTGGCTGTATTTTTAAAATATTCATGAAGACAGGTTTCTTTCCTTGGTAAAGACGATGCTGAAGACAGGATGTGCTTGAGGTCTGATGGAGGCGGGCTGTGCTCTAGATTCGTGACTATCTGTCCTACAGGGACAGACAGCCACCTACCCAAGTGCTCTAAATCAGATGCTCCCTCTTGGTCCTTCTCTTGGCATTCTGTTCTTGTCTCTCATGTCATTTATCGTGACACAGACTGCGGTAGGTCTGTGGTAATGGGGTATGTCTGAACATTCTGCTCCCTTGAGGAAGATGTGGGGACTGGATGGCCCTCTCTTGGATCTGTGCAGATTCTGTGGCTACCAATAGAACACAACAGAAATTATGATGTGAGGATTTCTGGGCTCAGGCCTGAATATTGTGGTAGCTCCTGCCTTCTCCCTTTCTCTTGGAAGACTTTTGAAGCCTTGAACTACTGAACTAAAAACCCTATGGCCCTGACACTGTTGGTAGTAGAAAGTGCCCATACCGTTATTCAGACCAACTGCCCTCAATGAATCCCATAGTTCAGCTATTTCTACTAAGGCATGCACTACATTGGTAAACCACTTTAGACCTTCTAGCCTGCAACTATCTGTGCAATAAATGTCATGTAACCTCTAACTACACCATGAGGCACAGAGCTAGCTGAACTCAGCCTGAATTTCTGATCTTCAGAATTGTGGTATATAAGAAACCAGTTCAGCTTTAAACCATGAGGCTTCAGAGTAGTTTGCTACACAGCAATTGACGACTGGAGCACTTTTCATTAGTGTCTATTGCTACTGTCTACTTTCTTCTTTAGATCATAGACCCACAATGACAAAGGCACCACACGTGTTGATGTCTATGTACTCAAATAGCTAGCTTAGTCTTAGCACACAGCAGGAGCTAAATACATATGTACTCAGATAAGGGAAGCAACTTTCATGCCACGCAATACACAGAGCACTCAGTTAAAACCTCGGTGTGGGTCCCTGTCTCATACCCCTTGGTTTTACACATGTTGGTGTTTTGATACTAAACTCATCTTCTTCATTTATATGACATTCTGATGTATAGGACACATGATACGTACATACATACACACACAATATATATATATATATATATACATATATATATGTCTTAATTAGAATTTATGTTTCTGGGATAAAACACAGTTGGGGAGGAAAGGGTTTAGCAGACGAGACTGGGCACGCTCAGGGTGGTATGGCCGTAGACTAGGAAAGGGTTTGTTTTACTTACACTCCCAGGTCACAGCTCACCACTGAGGGAAGTGAGGACAGGAGCCTGGAGGAGGAGCTGATGCAGAGGCCATGGAGCACTCTGCTTACTGGCTTCCTCTGCCTGCTTTCTTGCACAACTCAGGAACATTAGCCCAGGGGTGGCCCCGCCTGCAGTGAGCTGGCCCTCCCATACTAATCATCAATCAAGAAAATGCACCGAAGGCTTGCCCACGGGCCAGTCTGGTAGAGCATTTTCTCAGTTGAGGTTCCTGTTCCAAAGTGCCTCTACATTGGATATAACTGCATATGTGTATAGGTGTACTTATGACATTTAGGGCTCAATATATGTATTGTATAGATATACACACTTTTTTCTAGAATATTTCATATATCCAATTTTCTAGGAAAACGTCATATGATCATCAATTAATTAAGAAGCAATCTGTCTATCATTTATGTCTTTTTTATACATCTATCTTCTATCTATATCTCTCTATATATCTTACTGTTATCTCTATCAATAATTTGTCTACCTATTATCTATCATTTTTGCCTATATATCGATGGTCTGCCTAATCAAAAATAGTTTTGGTTCAAATTCAAATTTAAAAAAAATTAATTATTGGACTCACTAACTAGTATTTGGTTTGTGGCTGTACATGTAAATAAGCATATTTACACAGTGGGAAAGATGGTTTCCTGGCTTGAGTTGCATTGATAGCCAAGCCTCTGTTTTGTCAGTGTCCACAAATCATAACCCTTAGGAAGACATTCATTAGACAGCGGAATGCTGGGACCGGGCGCTTTGTCTTCAGTACATAATTCTGCACCAGCGCCATGGACTCTAATTATCATAATTATTGTTGTGTTTGGCCTCAATTTCACCTTCCACACTGTAGCACCACATAAGCACTTGAAGCATTTATGAACTTCTCAGCATATCTTTTCTGTCTTGTAGATGGTGGGCCTCTTGGAACTGGTCAAGCAGGTGTGACTAGTGTGTTGGTTTGCTACTAATCTTCCTGTGTGGCCTCAGTAACGGTCTTTAGAGTACCCCCGTAGAGTTCATAGGAAAGGCTTCTTGACATTTTAACAGGCTGTTGCGATGAGTTCCCACCCGAATGCTTGTTATTAAGCAGTGTCCCTTTACTTGGAAGAGGGTGTGGACCAGGGCAACTGGACAGTGGATCAAAGACTTACATCTGACAATTGGGCTGTTTTATGTTAGGTAGATCAAGTCTAAAAGCCTTCTTGTATCATTTGAATATGCACTTTTTCCTGATGGGGATTCCAAAGAATTTGATGGCAGGCAAACAAAAAGCAGTGCTTGGTAACAATTTATTAATATGATCAGTACTAAGGAGGAGGCGGGGAGCATGGCCATTTAGGGGAGAGGGTGCACATGTTTTCAGTGATTGTAGAGACAGCTAAACTGTACCAAGGGAGCCTTCAAATTTCATTGATAGTTGAACAGAATCAAGAAGAGTTGAGACTTTAGGCAAGATTTGTTTGGTTACAAATGATAATATAGCCCAGACCCTCTTAAGTAAGCAGTTGATCAATATGATTGGAATCTAGGTCTTGAGTGTGCTTGGATATAGATGCTCTATCAGTTTATTGTATTGAACTCATTGTAAGAAAGTTTTCCTAGGTACCACAGGTAACCCCTAGCAACCCAAGGCTTTTAGTAATCTTCACAGTTTATAATACCAGAGAACTCAAAATAGAATATCTCATAAATGTCCCAGCAATGGTCCTGGAGGAGATTCTCATTGACCTCACTTAAGTCATATAATTGTCCCCAAGTTCACTGTGGCCAGAAGGAGGCTGTATCGCAATTATCTAGGTCTGGGTCATGTTGACTACATGTATATTTATGCATAATCACTTCTCCGTAGAAGCCAGTAGAGGATGTTGGAGCCTCTAGAGCTGGAGTTACAGATGGTCGCAAGTTGCCAGGTAGGTGCTAGGAATTGAACTTAGGTCCTCTGGAAGAACAGTGAGTGGTTTTACCTGTTGAACTGTCTCTCCTGGTCCTTGGAACATGTTCTTCTCCTTGGATCTGAGAAGTAAGGTCAACCTAAAGAGTACCAATATTGATTAAATAAGGTAGTGATGGGCAACTCTGTCTAGGAGAGCTAGAAGATCTTTTCACACTAGTTTATTCATCCTTTGGGTGGTATATTTCATGAATGGATATTTTGGTAGGGATCTGAGGTTAGACCCATTCTGTCATTTATTCACTTCATATCTTTGGGGCTGTCACTTTCCCCCATGGGGTCACAGAGTCCTGATATGTTTTTAAAAGATGTATTTGTTCTTATTTTATAAGCATGGGTGTTTTGCATGCATATATGGTTATGTACCATGTATGTGTAGAGTTCACAGTGGTCACAAAAGGCATTGCATTCTTTGGAATTAAAGTTACAGAGAGTTATTAACTACCATGTGGGTGCTGAGAACTGAACCAGGGTCCTGTGTGAGAGCAACGAGAACTCTGAAGTGCTGAGCCATCTGCCCATCCCCCAGAATCCTTATTTTTAAAGCAAAGGGGACTCTGGACAGATGAATCTGATACTGAAACCCAGCTCAAAGATTCTATGGTTTCCTTCAGTTGGGAAGATTATTTTAAGTATCTAGGAAGGTAAAGACTTTTTTCCAAGTTAGTTTCTCTGTGCAGTCCTGGCTATCTTAGAACTCACTCTGTAGACCAGGCTGGCCTCAAGCTCAGAGATCCACCTGTCTCTGCCTCCCAAGTGCTGGGATTAAAGGCGCGTATGTCACCCCTGCCTGGTAGGAAGCTGAAGATAGCACCAGAATGCCTAAACTTGCTGAGTGTGGTGGCCCATGCCTTAGACCCAGAACTTGGGAGGTTGAGTCAGGAAGATTGTCATGGGTTTGAGGACAGCCTGAACTACTTGGCGAATAGTAAGACAGTATGGTTTCAAAGTGAAGTCTAGGTTTTTCAATTACAATTCCACAAATCATCTAAGTTCATCTTTGCCTTTTTAAAAAAAAAGTTGAAGATACTCTAGATTTTATTACTATTTGTAACCAAACCCAGGGAGTGTCTGATGTCAGTGGTGATGAGACCGCAGCTGCCTTTCCTCAAGTAGAAGCAGACCAGGTCTCCACTGTTCTCAGGGAACTCTGTTCTCAGGGAACTGGATTGTGAGCTCTTCTCTTCACTTCCCTCCCAGCTCAGCAGCGATGCTGTCAAGACACCGTTTCACCACTGTAAGGTCACTGGGATAAATGGGAAGGTTGGCAGATTGCCTGAAAATGAGTTTGGCCTGAAAGTTTCTTGCCCAAGAAATGGAAAGAAGCCTGCTGGGACAGCCAAGGGGAGACAGAAGAGAGAGCGGCCTCTTTTGAAAGAGCTGCAGCCCTGGAAAGGTGGCTAATGGCTGGAGAGGGCTCGTGATGATAACTCACAGCGGCCACTTGGATTTAATTATAGCAACATTTGCAGACAATAAGTGGGTCTTGAGTGAAGCCGGCCTGATGATGTGGCAGTGACAGAAGCTCATCTCGATCCCTGGCCAGAAGGATAGATGAGAGATGACTTGGAAATGTTTTCTCTAAAAATATACGGATGTGTCACCATCACCATGGTCAAATACTTATTAAGATTCCTGGAGTGAGGAGGACACCACTCTAAATTGTGGAGCGAGAAGTGGACTTGGACTTATGTAATGTGACTTCGCTTCTGAAATTCCTATTTATTCACAGGGATGCGTTTTCAAATTGATGACCTCTGTCCCTAGACGTCAGGAAAATTAGTAATTTTGAGGCTGGAGATTTGTTGAGGTATGTTCTATTTTTAAAAGCATTCTATGCTTAAGGGGGGGGAGAAGCTTCTGTTGTTTACATATAATGAGAAGAAGATAAGATCCCTGACATCTACGTGCTCTCAATAAAAGGACTCATTAGAACAGTAGAAAAATTTAAGGATTCTTTATAATAAACTGTCAGTAGAATTCTAGGAGAAAAAAAGAGTCTTAGCGGCAAACATTTTCCCCCCTGGCTCTGTCTTTACTGAATGTCTTTCCTGTGTCAGCATTATCCTTGGCGCTCTGTGGGTAGGTCAACTCTCTGAGGTGTGTTTTACAAAACCTATTTTAAAGGGAGGAACCTGAGGTCAGACAGATTAAACAACTAGCTATAAAAATTAATACTCCTTAATAAGTCTGTGCTCTCAAAATTGTTGATTTTCAAGGCTGTAAAACATTCACCTTGTTTTGCCGCTGATGAAGTGTGGTAAATGGAAACAGCAAAAGGAATCCGTGTTCCTCACTCCCAAGTTGCAGTGGCTTGGAGGAGGTGTTTCCCACAGTCTTGACCTCCACCCAGTTGGTGGCACTGTCTGGGGAGACTTCGGAGGTGTGAAGCAGGGGTCTGGCTTTGAGACTCAAAAGGCTTGCATCATTTTAGAGTTCTCTCTCTCTCTGCTTTCTCCTTGGGTTTCGGAGATGTGAGACCTCAGCTGTTTCTGCCTGATGACTGCAGCCTGCCGCCCTGATTCCCTGCTGTGACGGACTCTTACCTTCTGGAACTGTAAGCCCAAGTAAACCCTTTGTTCTAAAAGTTGCCTTAGTCATGGCAACGAATAAGTTAAAAGGTGTGGAACCAGAATTTAAACTTGTCTGATTCCAGGGGCTCACTTCCCAAGTTCCCTTTCTTCTCCTCTCCTACCCCCATTCCCTCCCCTCCCTCCCCTCCCCTCTGAGAATGGGACCCCAGAGTCCCTCAGTGCCTGCGACGGTCTGAGAATGGGACTCACTGGTATGTGGTTTTAGCATCTTGCACCCAGCTAGCATTGCAAGAGTACCAGCTGCTGCTGATTGCGTTTAATCCATTCAAATGAACTAATTTTTTAAAAATGAAAATAAGGTGTTTTGCTTCTATGTACAATGAAGTAGCACATTCCAAAAGGATTCTCCTAAAAAGATTCTGATTATGTCTGGTTTCTATCTAATATTCATGACCCTCAAATGATTAGTTGCTTTGGTTGAATGATTATTTTTCAGACTTGTAAATGATCTCAGTCCCAGTCCCAGTTAGGAGTTTACTGCTCACATGTGATGGCTTAAAGAAACAAGCGGGGGCTTAGATCTCGACTCTATGTGTCAGCAGCTAGGGCCAGATTCAGATGGCTGGTTAGTGGCGGGCTATTGGCTGGAGAGGCAGGGTCAGTCATATGACTTTCTCCACCCAACAGAATAACATGGGCTTGTTCAAATCATGGCTGGACTGGATGCCATGAGAGAGAGGAACTGCTCAAATTATCCTGAGGCTTGAAACTGGCCTTTTTAAAAAAACAACTTTAAATTGGAAACAAGTTTGTTTTGCATGTCAATCCCAGTTTCCCTCCCCCCCCCCAACCCGGCCCCTATCCCATCCCCTTTCTGCTCCACAGGGAGGGTGAGGCCTTCCATGAGGGATCTTCAAAGCTGTCATATCATTTGGAGCAGGGCCTAGACCCTCCCCTGTGTCTACGCTTAGAGAGTATCCCTCTGTGTGGAATGGGCTCCCAAAGTCCATTTGTATAATAGGGATAAATACTGTTCCACTACCAGAGGACCCATAGACTGCCCAGGTCTCCTAACTGACATTCATGTTCAGGGGGTCTGGGTTGGTCCTATGCTGGTTCCCCAGCTATTAGTCTGGGGTCCATGAGCTCGCCCTTGTTCAGGTCAGCTGTTTCTGTGGGTTTCTTCAGCCTTGTCTTGACCCCTTTCCTGCCACACTGCCAGAGAAGATAGGAAACAAGGACGACCCTAAGAGTCACATACATGTCCCCTGGAGAAGGGGAAAGGGACAAGGTCTTCTGAGCTAATTGGGGACAAAGGCTGTGAATAATTTAAAGAACTCCCTCAAGTCTTTATTTCTGTCACTTGTCCTATAGAGCCCCTGGTCTCTGACCATCTTTTTGAAAATGTTTAGAAATGGCCTTACATGGTTGGTGACGTGCAATCTTACATGTCACAGGTGAACTCATTACTAAGATTGCTTCTGGGAAGAATGTAGCAATTTCTACTCTCAGGATGCAGGAGACTGGTCATAGCACTAAGTCACTTTTTATTGTGACAAAGTACATGTTCAAAGAGGAAGAGGTCTGTTGGTCCATGGTTTCAAGGGTTTCAGACCTCAGTCGCTCAAGTCTACCGTGTCTTAGCCCGGGCATGCCGAGGTAGTGCAGCATGGAGGGTCACAGGGGACCAAGGCAGCTGTCATACCCCATGGTAGGCTGGTGGCGGAAGGACTGAGAGAGGAAGGGGCCAGGGACAGGTATGCCCTTGTAAGGCACACCAAAGTGACCCATTTATGCCAACCGGGCACTACCTCCTGCGTCCTGTCACCTCCAGGACCACGAAACTATGAATCCGTCAGCAGACTCGCTCCCTGATGAGGTCAGAGTCCTCGCCGTCACATCACCTTCTTAGTGCCTGGATCTACTACTGCCAGCTGAGACCACGCCTTCTGCGCGGGAGCCCAGGGAGGCATTTCAGACCAACACTCACTGTAGTCGGGAGTGTAGTGATTAAACATTAAGTCTGCTCCCCCAGCTCATAAATCCAGGATAGCTATGGACCAGACAATCGGGCACAGGCGTATTTTGCGAAGTACCTGACCCCTTCTCCTCACAACTGTTGAAGTCAACAAAGTCAAGGAAAACCCGAGAAACTGTCAGCCAAGAGGGGTCCAAAGAGACAGAGTGACGAAATGTAACCAGGCGTCCCAGAAGTGAAGACAGAGGAAGAAAAAAAGACACCGTGTTTAAGGAGGGAATGTGGGGAGGAGGCCTGGGGGAGTGCTCCCTGGGATGTGTGAAGCCCTGCACCGGATCTCCAGCACTGGAGAAGGGCGGGAGAGGCATCTGAGGCAAGCATGGATTTATGCCTGATGTACTCATATTGGCAAGCCCATTGGATCAACTTTATGCCAACGGAAAAGTGCCGACCACAGAGAGGAAGCTGGGTGTGGGCTGTATTTTCTGTAAACGCAAAGCGATTCTGAAAAGTTTACGGGCAAGTGAACAAGGCACACGGACAACTGGGACCAGCAGTCACTGAAGTGAATAGATAGGGAAACGCGTTTAAAAAACTTCTCCAAGTGCAAGCCTCTTTTTACCTAACCATGTGGGTCACGTGTGGCGTCTACGGCTTCCCAGAAAGAGCCAGGACCACAGATGGAGCTACTGAAGAGGCCTGCGTATTAACACACATGGCGTGTTCTGTTGGACTGAACGGATAGCGGCCGAAAGCGCAGACGCTGGACCCGGAGTGTTCGCTGCCAGCCCTTCTGCCACCGGTTTTCCTACGGGTGAGTTACCTCACCGGTCTGTGCCTGGGTTCTTCAGTCTGTGAAGCGGTGATGAGACAGACTGGCCGTTTTGAGAATGGAATGCGTTCCTATGTGTGCAGCCACTGGAACCGCACTAAGCATCTAGAGCTATAAATGTGCTTTTCAATAGGTCACGAGGAGAAAGAAGACGGCTACCTCCTTTTGTGTGTGTGCGTGTGTGCGTGTACGTGTGTGTGGCACAAGCGAGCGTCTGTGCACTGTGTGTGCTGAAGCCAGAGGCAATGCCATATGACTTCTTCAATCACCCTGGACCTCATTTTTGAGACAGTGTCTCCTGCTGAGCCAGGAGTGTACCTTTTGGCTAGGCTGGCTGGTTGGCAACTCCAGGGATCTTTCCATTTCCTCCCCAGATTCTGGTGCTGCAGGGATGTGCCCCTGTGGTAAGCTTTTTAAATGTGAGTGCTTGGGATTTGAACTCAGGTCCTCATACATGGGCAACCAAGCCCTCTCCCAATCCCTAAATTATAGTTACTTTTAAGGTTTATATTTCTTTTAAGTTAACTGGCCTTTTCCTTTCTATCCTTTTGCTATTAGATTTTTTTGCTATGTTTCGTTTCTAACTTCTTTTGCTAAATGCCTTCTTGTTTTAGCTACAGTTATTTTGTTTAACACAAATTTCAAGGCTGTGAATTTGGCTCTAATTATAGATTTGGCTGCATTACATAAGTTTTATTTATGCAATAAGCACATTGTCCACATTTCATAACTATGGTGTAATTACAGTTTGGATTTTCCACTGACAATTAACATAAAATGGGATTTTAATAATTAAAAATGCTTATTTTTCTTTATCTTTTAAAATAAACATTTTGGGGGCTGAGAAAATGTCTCCATGGAAAAAAATGCTTGCTGTGAATGCATGGCGACCCGGGTTCAGATCCCCAGCATCCATGGGAAAAGCCGGGCATGCCAGTGAGTGCCTGAGGTCCCCATATTAGTTCATGGAAGCAGGAGGAGTCCAGGGACTTGCTGGCTGGCTAGTCTATCCAATCTATGAACTGCAATGTTAGTAATTAGACCCTTTATCAGAAAATAAGGTAAGAATGGTTGAGGAAGATACCGAGCACATATGTACCTGTACACAAGCACGGACACACATACTTAAAACACATATGCATGCAGACACACACACACACACACGCACTTTTTACTCATTTTTAGTTTCATCTGCTGTAGTCAGACACTGTGGCAAACTACTAATGATAAGGAGATTCATTTGGTTTTTCATCATCAGCAACTTTTATGTGATAATTTAAGTATAAAAAGGAAATTTGTAGGGCTTGCAAAACATTAAATATCACAGTGGCATTTTTTCATACTAGGAGTCCCTCCTCAAGGCTTTGTCCTATTTTGTGTCTTACCTTGCTGCCTGCTGCCTTTCTGTCTGTTGTGTTTTTATGCATCTGGAAGTCTCTCTATGCCCCTCTGTGATTATTTCATTTCTTGACTCATGAATTGGCTCTACACCATGGAACGTGAAAATTCTCCCTTTTACATTATATTTGTCCTTTTCCCAGTTTTAAAGTTTCCTTAAACTAATTGTGTGTGTGTGTGTGTGTGTGTGTGTGTATGTGCGTGCGCGCGTGTGCACATGTGCAGGTGTCCACAGAAGTCAGGATAGGGCATCAAGTGGTCCTGTATTTGAGTTACAGGCAGGTATAAGTTGTCCTAATTGGGCTCTAGGAACCAACTCTAGTCTTATGCTAGAGCAACGAGGGTTCTCAACTGCTGATCCATCTCTCTAGCCTCTGTCCCCTTAAAACATTAACTTCCCATGACTGACTAGATATTTCTTTTTTGCTATATCTATATTAGTTTCTCTATGTTCCCAATAATTCTACTTTTATTCGTATTCTTCCATAATCCAATGGTAAATTGATGCAGTATTATTTTTATGTTTTTCTAATCTGAGGTGATGAACCTGTTCTTGCGGCTCTTGACCTTTGTTTTTAGCTATGTTGATTTTTTTATATTACTAATCTGCTACATACATTGTAAAACTTAGTGATATAAATCAACAATTTCCATCATATTGCATATTTTTTCTTAAATCCTAGGGCTTTAAAAATTTTAATGCTCTCATCTCTATTCTTCTGTCCTTTTTAAAAAAAATTTGACCAAAATTAAAAGAAAACAAACAAAAAACCAACTTTCAATTCTTTTCTCCCTAACAGTGTTGTTTACCTACT